CGTTATGCTTGTGATGTGAAAATTCGTAGCCAATAGGAAGGAACTAGAGAAACATATAGTTTTCACAATGTTTTGCCTAAAAATAAGGGCTAACATGCGCTGATGTCATTAAGCACCAATCAAAATCCAGCAAACCAAACCATCCAAAACTCAACATGTATCCAAAGGCAAAAGGAATATATATAGCTGTAAAAAACCCAAACCGTCCTAAGAATTTGTGCCTGAGTGAATTTGGTTTGCACACCTGCCCAAGCCCCATTTAATTTTAAGGATATACTTGAGAGTTCTCAATGAATGGGAATGTAAGAATGATCTTCACGATGGCATACCATTACCACTTGCAAAATGTAATCATTACCTTGAGCAAAACGGGTATAAATAGGTAGCTCTTCCTCACAAAAGAGATGTGAGACATGAATTTTTACAAAGAAAAATTGTGAAAATTAGCAAAGACACACTACTAGAAAGAGACTAGCTTAACATTCTCTCAAAACACAAAGACTTGTAACCACAGATCGCAGCTCGTGACCTCTTGTAAGCTTGTGTCACGATCAGAAAAATGTTTATATATACAATTACAGTGGATGTAGAATTCGCTTTAAGCATCTGAACCATTATAAAACTCCTATTGACAATTTTCAACACCAATATGTAATAAATGTTCTTCTTCAAACTTGATTAAAAAGAATAAGATATAAAGTAAAGCTTAATCATTATAGATTCAATTTTCTNTGCATTAATTTTGATTTGTTTGCTTTAATATTAATAAATATTATTTAATGTACTAAATTTGACATTTAAATATAAATATTAAATAATATTATAAATTTATTATAATATATATTGTAAAAATAATAATAATGATCCCAAACAGCAACAAACAAGTACCAAATATAAGCTACCAACAGTGAAAACCTGAAAAACAATTTACCCCATGGTGCTTTTCATATTTACAAAATAAATAATAATAATAATAAGAGCATTGTCATTAGCTTTTAATAAATATTTATATATATTTATAGATCAAGGCTTTAAATGAGTATTAAATAATAACCAACCCAATCTATTAAGTGAAACAATAAATTCTTTACTAGCAACATTCTTAAATTGACTTACATGCTTGAATGTCAAATTCAAGAGCCAAACTTCTAAGATATTAGTTTTTATATTGACAGTTGACACTGTTTTTAATTTTGATTTCTTTTATTACTGATTGGTTTTACACTTTCAGTTATTGTCATATAAATATAAATTACATTAAAAATTAAATTCTAACGTACTAATGGCAACGATTTTAAGAAAATCAACACCAAAACGTTTTCACAATGAAACATAAATTGCGTCGCAATATGTTTTTGACCTTTTTTTTTTTTTTTTTATATTTGCATCGCCAAAAACGTTTTCCGACGAACTATTTGTTGCGTAGCCAAATGGATTTTGCATCGTTTTTTATATTTTTGTCACCAAAAAGCTATTATGACGGGCCTTTTGTTGCGTAGCTAAATGTCTTTTGCGCCACTTTCTATATTTTCGTCGTCAAAAAGCTATTACGACGGGCCTTTTGTTCCGTAGCTAAATGTCTTTGGCATTTTTTTTTATATTTGCGTCGCCAAAAACGTTTTCCGATGAACTATTTGTTGCGTAGCCAAATGGATTTTGCATTGTTTTTTATATTCTTGTCGCCAAAAAGCTGTTACAACGAGCCTTTTGTTGCGTAGCCAAATGTCTTTGGCGTCTCTTTCTATATTTTCGTCGCCAAACAGCTGTTATGACGGGCCTTCTGTCCAGTAGCTAAATGTCTTTGGCATTGCTTTCTATATTTTCGTTGCCAAAAAGCTGTTACGATGGGCATTTTGTTGCATAGCTAAACGTCTTTGGCATCGCTTTCTATATTTTTGTCGCCAATCACATTTTATGGCACTGTGCATTTGCGTTGCTAAATACTTTTGGCTACATTTTGTACTATTTTCGTCTCTAAAAAGTATCCACGTCGACATATGGTTACGTTGTGAAAACAACTTGGGCGTCGCTTTTTGTATTTTCATCGTAAAAAACATTATATGATGAATTATGTCGTCGCTAAGTCTGTCGCCAATTTGTTTCCCGCCATCTCGTGTGAGGATTAGAAAGTCCGCAAAACTATTGGCGATGAATTTCATATTTTGTCGCTACTAATTACCTTTGGCGATGAATTTTAAAATCGTCGTTAACAAAATTGTAGCTAAAAGTCCTTTTTGTTGTAGTGACTATAGCTTAGCACTAGTCATTCGTCGAAAATTCTCTCATAGAAAACTAAGTGGAGTTGGCTCTATCGGTTGTTCTCGACGGTTGTGAAATCGATTGGGAAAGAAATTTTGATCCAACTTTGGATTTCGCAAAGAATTAACCCGTGTATTTGGGCACACAGGTTTTGGGCTTGGTGTGACCCAAGTGTAATTATCCAGCCTGTTGTTTTGGGCCTTGAAAAACCTAGGTTGATTCCTTTCTAAAACCCAATTCTTCTCTTCCACCTGATGGGCCTGATCCATTAGTGCAAATAGTGAAGTGGGCTAATTCAAACGCTTTTCAACCCTTATTTCTTCTTTTAGCCCATTCGTGAAGATCCCTATTAAAAGGTCTTATTCTACCTCACGTAAGGGTGCTGCATGAGCCTCAAAGTTTTCTTTGTATTTTGTAACTGTACCAGTTTGTCTTAGAGCCACCAGAGCTTCATATGCTGACCCTTTGAAGGAAGGCTTGAATCTCTCAATCAAAGTAACTTTTAAGGCTTCCAACGAACTGATCGGTGCTTTTGACTCCACCCACTGATACTAGTTCAAGGTGCGTCCCTCCATACAAGCGGCCATGAATTCCACCTTCTCTTCAGCCTCATAACAATTCACCGCAAAATATCGGTCAACCTTGAAGGTCCAGTCGTATAGATCTTCCCCGTTGAACACCGGTAACTCTAGTTTCTTAATCCTCTTCTCATCCTTTGAATTTTCGGTTTCTTTTGTTCAATCAATCACCCCACTATTGCCACTGTTTGGGTGCTCAACGTTAGATGTTTTTCCCTTATCACGACTCGTACTCGCCTCCCTTTCCTCCTTCAACCTCATCCATTTGCGAAGCTCAAGGAGGTATCCCTTGATGCTTCCCTGTTCTTCCTTCACATTCCCCATTTCTGTTTCCACTTTCTCCATCTCCTTCTCCAATCCATCTACCCTCTATTCCATTTTCATTTTAGTCATTACCCAGACAAGGCTCTAATACAAATTTGATGGGAACCTTGTCAAATTAAAACAAAACCAATAACAAACAATCCAAGAATTACACAAGAAAAGACAAATCAAATCTGAAAATAACCAATATTGTATTGAATCAGATAATTGATAATGAGAAATGGTTTCAATCACCCAAAATAACTAAGAACAGATAATTCCCAGCAGTTCAAGGAGTTAGGGACCTCCCTAGTGACCTTTGTAAAATTATATCTATCCTCCCCCTAAACGCACCTCCCTTTATATACTAATCCACTCAACTAAATATTCATTCTATTAACAACTTGATTCCCTTAACACGTGAATGTTACCCAACCAACTCCCACTAGCACCCATGCATCTTACACACCCATCACCATAGTGCCCTTGTTCCCTTTATACCATTTATAATGATATACTTTACTAATGGGAGGCCTATCAATTTGTGTCTCTTTACTAAGGTTTGTGTCCCATTAGGTTTTCCTTGAGTAAGGTTAAATGCAATTATTTTGCAAATGGTGGATGTTCAAGAGGGAGTGTTGTAAATCATGAACCACACCAATTTGAAAAATTCGAGGGCAACTTGACAAGTTGTCAAGTTGTAGGGGTGCAAGTGGGGGGTGATAGCGATAAATACCCTCCCCCCTTTCATTCTAAAGACACAAACAATTGGCGAGATCCAAGATAAATATTGTGATGATGTGGCTTCTTATTTGCCACGGTGGAAGTCAGCTTTGGTGTTAGAAGTCAAATAAGTAGTGCGACGTTGTTTTGGATAAGCCCATATGAATATTGTGTTTCGGCTATTACACTTCTCATGCTCAGCTCCCTCTTTCCTCTCTCTTTACCGCGACAGTTTATGACCCCAAAAGAATCTTACAGATTGTTATTCATCTTACGGTTATGGAGAGATCGAAGACAGGTGGAGGCTGATCAAGGAAGGGTGCATGTGTATTTAACTTCAATTGATGCTGAAGAAAAGAACATATCTCATATTGGGAAAACCTAGGGCTTTTGGATTGGGCGTGTTCTTTCCCTTTTGTAAAGTCTTTCTTCTCTGATTTGTTCATCATCCTGTACACTTTGGTTATTAATGAGAATGCCCTATTGTGAGCCTTGGAAAGTGGATGTAGGCTGCAAAGCCAAACTACTATAATTGTTGTGTCTTGTGTTCTTTTGCTAATTCTCTTTATTTACTCATAGCTCTACTGATTTATTTGTTAATTGAGAGTTACTAAGTAAACCCTAGAATTCTAACAAATATATTCAAAGATCTTATTCCAATCCCCTTTAAATCTACTTTCATACTCTACAGTCTTTTCTTAGTTTATTTTATTGCACTTACACCACTTAAATCACAACATAAAGAACATAATACTTGCTCTTGACAAATCATCCAAATATGGGAGCAAGCATTGAAAAAAATTGAGACAGGGATTTGAAAATGTTGTAAAAAAAAAAAAAAAAAAAAATTGTAGGCTGAGAAAGAGGAGAAAAAAAATAATATTGTAAAACCGATCTCTGATCATTTTGACATAAAACCAAGTTGTATAAGGATTTTTTTTTAAAGACTATTTTCTACATCAATATGTAATAAAATCTATTTTTTTCTACCTTCAACAAAAACGTTCGATAAACAACGAATTCTTATTCTCATTTCAATTTTTTTCTATAACAATAGAAGATTATGATATAGTTTACAAATCAAATTTTAATAATAATTGCATTATATAATTTATCAATAAAGTACACGCTCTCAAACTACTTACTCATGAAACAAGTCTTCAACTCAACGTTTTCAATGGGTAACTTATCTTTTGGGAAAAAGCAATCAGTATTATCCTTTTTCTCAGGTAATAAATTGCAGGCCGGAGGAGTCACACGACTTGTAAATCCTTGAACATCAGTACAGTTCCACTGAAGTTTTTGTGGTTTTTCTGTTAATCCAATCGTTACATTAGAAATGCAAATTCCAGTAAAGGGGTCATTTTGAATTCCATCAAGTCTCGCTGAATATGTGACATTTTCAGCCACGATGTCTCTATAGTTTATTCCTGTAATTTCGGGAAGTGCTTTTGGGTCAAAGCTCGGGTCTGGGTGTGAACCATAAGAACCTGTCATCCAAAAGACATACTTCATAGTCTTCATGGTCATTCTCCTAACATATATATCTTTCACATAACCTCCTCTTCCAATAGCAGTTTTAATCCGCACACCAGATTGAGTGTCAATGGCTGTGATATCTTCAGCTCGGACATCTTTAATTCCACCAGACATCTCACTGCCAAGTGCTATGGTAGCACTATCCGGTGAAATGCAGGTTAGCCTTCTGATGATCAAGTGTTTCGTTGGCATTCCAAATTTGGTTCCATATTGATCCCATCCACTTTTAACTGCAATGCAGTCATCCCCTGAGACTATGTAACAATCTTCAATTATGGTGTTTGTACATGAATCTGAAAACACCAAAGATAGAATTATATTCATGATGGTTGTTGAATAAGCTAATCACTTATAAAAGAGACGTTGTATGTATAATTAAATAAAAACCTGGGTTTATCCCATCTGTATTAGGAGAATCAATTGGCGCAAGAATAGTGAGGCCTTGGACAAGCACATTGCTGCAATTTTAGTTTTGATTAAAATATAGAATTTCAAAAAACAAAAGAATAAGATCATATGGATTAAATTTTTTGGTCAAACCTGCAGTATATAGGATGAACGTTCCATGATGGAGAATTAATTAAAGTTATATTGGATATCTGGACGTGATTAGAGTACATGATTTCAATAAGATAGGGTCGAGTGATGTTTAATTGGTTGCTACGGTATTTGATCCACCAAGGTGCACCTTGACCATCTATCGTACCATTGCCACCTATGCATGATAGTTAAATAATACATTATTAAATGTACCTTAAATGTAGATTTAAATTCTTATTAATTAGTTTTACCTGTGACAACAACGTCAGTTAAATTTGTCCCAAAAATAAGGCTGCTAAATCTTCCACCAGGTCCATCTCTTCCTCTTCCATAAGATGGCAACACCGCAAGATGAGGCCATTCTGCTTCATCCTGTACATGTAATATATTATGGTTGATAAATCTAATAATACATATTTATTTAATTATATTTTCTCACATATGAAATAAAAAATACCTGAGATGCAAGAAGAACTGCATCCTTATGAATATATAAAGTGAAATGACTAGTGAGATTAAAACTGCCAGTTAGCCATTTTCCTGGAGGAACAATAAGTTGAGCTCCACCGTCTGATGCAAATTGGCTTAGATTGGCAATTGCTGAATTAAACGCCTTGGTATTTGAAGTTTTTCCATCACCAACACCTCCAAAATCAGTCAACACTGCAGAGTGTTTGCGACAATTTATCGCAGGATATGAGATGGGGTACTCCACTTGGCTACTGCCTTCTACCCGTAAACTTAGCAGTTCCAATATCAAAATGCTTGAGACAATCGCAGTAATCTGAAAAAAAAAAAAAAAAAAAAATTATTAATAAGAAACAAGTAGCTAATAGAGAAGTTTCCGTAATTTTGCGTACGAGAATGAGGCAAGAAGAAGAGGAGTAACTAGAAATTTAAACATTTAATTACCTGGTAAATTTTGGATTTTGGGCACAACTCCATTTTTTATTGAAAACAGAATTGTGTTGTGATCAGGCTTATAGAAGAGGGAATATATATAGATATGAAAGGTAACAGATTTGTTACTAGAGTTTGTTTTGAAGGTTATTTCTTCTTTGAACGAGCGATAATAACGGGCAGTTTTTAAGTTTTATCAACATGGAATGAAACAAAATTTCTAAAGTAAGAACTAGGCCGTTTTATTTTAAGACTGATGCTTTGACTTCCTATGAAAAGAGAAAAAAAATAATAGAATTACCTTAAATGGAGGATTTTGACTATTCTTAGTTGTAAGCAATGTTTTAAACCCGGCCCACCCCTTGACCTGGTCAAGGGGCCGGTTCCCGGTGTTTCTCAATCTGACCATTGACTGGTTGGTCTAACTGGTGACATTAGCATACCGACAGGTTTGAAAATCAAACACTCTCTTACGATATGGGTAGGAAATCGTGAAGCAGACAAATGGTGACGTCGACGATTAGCGGCCAATCAGAGTTTGAGATGATAAGGGTTTTGATGTGGAGATAAAAGTGATGTTGATGATGGTGTCGGCTGGTGGTTGGCGCCGAAATCTGTCGGAATTAGGGAGGAAGCTGCCTGTTTTCTCGAAGCAGGCAGGTGGCAACACGCGCGCGACGTTAGTGACTAATCGGACTTTCGGATGATGTGGGTTTTGATGTGGAATGAAGGTGATCATGGTGGTGGGTGTCAGGTGGGATGGTTGGCATCTGAATTGCTTTTAGAATCGCGGAGGAATCTACCAGAATCAAGGTTTTGGTGGCTTGGTTTAGCTACCAGGTTAGTTGGACCGTCGTTCGCTACTAATTTGTCGGTCCAAATCTGGCCCAATCCAGGCTAGTGGCTATTCCGGGTTTTTTTTGGGGGGGGGGGGGGGGCCCGAACCGAAGTTAGTGTCGGTTCTAAGTCCCATCGGCTTGTTCGATTCGAGGTTTAAACATTGTGTATGTTTTGAGGAAAAGTTTTAAAAATGAATTTGTTCCTTGTTTACAATTAATAAAACTTTATTATTATTTGGATGAAGTGTTAGACTCAGATTTTTAATTAGTATAAAAGAAATTAGAATCAAGGTTTTTGAAACCTGATAAATGGCTGTTCCTAGGTTGAGCGCAAGTCAACCCGTGATGTCAACATGTAAAAGTTTGAAATCTAGCAAAAGCACCCCTAATAGTTACACATAAGTCCCTACAGGTTTGAATCCTGCACAAACACCCCAAATATCTAATAGGTGGAAAGCAATTTTAGTTTAATAAACTAAAATGGCTTCTTTCAATAGTTTTATAAGACACACATCTATAGTCTAATTGCTTGTATCGTTATGTCTGGTGATGTGAAAATTCGTAGCTAATAGGAAGGACTAAGAAACAATAGTTTTCACAATTTTTTGCCTAAAAAATAGGGCTAACATGCGCTGATGTCATTAAGCACCAATCAAAATCCAGCAAACCAACCACCAAAACTCAACATGTATCCAAGGCAAAAGGAATATATATAGCTGTAAAAAACCCAAACCGTCCTAAGAATTTGTGCTCTAGTGATTTGGTTTGCACACCTGCCCAAGCCCCATTTAATTTTAAGATATACTTGAGAGTTCTCATGAATGGGAATGTAAGAATGATCTTCACGAGGCATACCATTACCACTTGCAAAATGTAATCATTACCTTGACAAAACGGTATAAATAGGTAGCTCTTCCTCACAAAAGAGATGTGAGACATGAATTTTTACAAAGAAAAATTGTGAAAATTAGCAAAGACACACTACTAGAAAGAGACTAGCTTAACATTCTCTCAAAACACAAAGACTTGTAACCACGATCGCAGCTCGTGACCTCTTGTAAGCTTGTGTCACGATCAGAAAAATGTTTTATATACAATTACAGTGGATGTAGAATTCGCTTTAGCATCTGAACCATTATAAAACTCCTATTGCACATTTTTCAACACCAATATGTAATAATGTTCTTCTTCAAACTTGATTAAAAAGAATAAGATATAAGAAAGCTTAATCATTATAGATTCAATTTTCTTACATATTATAAGTAGAAGCAGCATGGTATCAACTATAAACCATGTAAATAACGAGTGGATAAATCCTCCCTCAACTAAGTTGAGAGCAACTTTGCAGCTTAACTTCGTCCATGGTAGCTTATCCTCACGGAAAAAAAAAATCATTATGTTACTTCTCTAGTGTTGTAACCAACTATAATACCCATAGATCAAATATCACACAAGCCATAAGAAAAGCAAGAACCAACACAACACACAGATTTACCATGGTTCACTTATCCAAATTGATAAGTTACATCCACGTTGAGCTTCGGAAATGGGATAGCTCGCTGCACTACTTATTAGAAAAGATTCAACCAAAACAAGTAGAAGCCCAATCAAACTCTTAATGATTACAAGAAATCTTCACAGTAACTAATCCTAAGATACTCACCTAGAATCCCCAAGAACAAGAGCAAAAAAGCCCTCCTGATTAACTAACGATTACCCAATCACACAAGTTACAAAGATTTCAAAGATCAATCAAGACCTTTAACAGATAGAAAAGGTGAATGTAAAGCTATTCAACTAGAGACAAAAAGCAAACTTTATTTTACTGACATTCCCTTTTTAAGTGTTGACTTAATGAAGTTTCTCAGCCATCAGTCAGATTTGGACAACGATCAGGATTCATATAGACAATATCAAAGTGCAACGTTTCATTCGTGTTTCAAATTGCATCGTTTAGTCTTCACTTCAACACTAATAACAAATTGCACGCTGGAGGAGTCAAAAGATTTGTAAATCTCTGAACCTCTGTACAATTCCATTGTTTTTTGGTTCGTTGTCAATCCATTAGTTCATTAGAATATGAGCATGCTAGTTTTATAAGATACATACAAGGGGTATACAAAAACATTCCCCACCCTTGATTTTCATGATTTTTCTCTGTCCCTCTCCCCTCTTTTTCTGTTTTTTCTTTGTTTTTTTCTTCTGGATAATGTCACTTGTAGCCCTCTTTATAGGTCTTTGCAAGATGCACTTTTCTAGAATTATACAAATGTTGGTAAAGGGATTTAATTTTACATAAATCTTAACCTTAGATCTTCATTACCTAATCCTAAATTTTCATAATCATTGAATTTTTTTGTTATATTTTAAATATTTCTTGTTTAATGAATTAATACTAAAAGATGAAGACGGGGAGTTTGAAGGTTATTTTAAATAGAAGTAAAAGGTTTGAAGGGTAGTTGGGTATAGCACTCTTTATATTGTTTCGAAATTCAAAAATCACTATCATATTAATTTAAGGCTGAGAATTGGAGAACCGTGTGGGAAGTATTCGTGTTGTTCCTCAAGAAAAAAAAAATGCTGCTGTCTGCTGACATTTCTTAATCCTCTTTGATGGACTATTTAATAATGGCGAGCAGATCCTAAAAAAGAAATTCATAGTATCTAATAATGACTCTCATGCATGGATTCTTCTCATTTGGCTCGATTCAGTTGCAGAAGAACCCCTGCTGCTGTCTTAACCTTTCTAATCGTTTGTGGTATGGTTGCCTTAAGCATTTCGTCTGAGATGTGGAATAAGTTCGTCCGATATCTTGATTACTGGCCCAACATTTACTACATTCAAGTTGTCACGAGTTTCCCCATGATCCCAGATCCTATACTGAGGTAATTACTAATATTCGTGTTAACATTTAACTATTTCTAGAAGTTACTAGAATGGCCTGTTAATAATCGGAACTCAATTGAAAAGGTGATTGATGTTATTTGGAATTTGCAGCAATGGGAAACGCATAGAGAATTGGTACCGCGTGAATTGCTGTTTCTTTTGTTTCCATTCGATGCTACCTCGTGAATTTCTGTTTCTTTTGTTTCCATTTCAATGCTAATTTTTTTGGATCAAAAGGAATATATTGAGGAAACGAATTGATACGATGGCATGGAATTTGAACATAGAATTGGATTGGAACAATTTTTTAAACGAAATAGACATGGACTTCTACAGTTCCACTTATTCAAGTTGAAGCTCTAATTCCATGGTACAATACAAAATGTAAAAGTAACTTAAAATTATCATGCAGAGTGCATTATTCCTTTCTCTGTAAATTTCTTATATTTTTATGGAATCAGTCAACATTCTGCTTGTTTGCTTTCAGGGGCTTCTGTATGTTGACGATGATACATTATTTGGTCAGCTGGTCTTTATGGGATGGTAAGTTTGCTCTATTTGTTTATATACATATCTAGTAGTTTTTATGTTTTGAGCAAATTGATATCTTTGCGATCTCATCATATTTTGCATATTATGCTTTCTTCGTTGCCGAACTACTGTTTAATAACTCACTTGACCTTTTTACTCTTCTGGTTACAGTCACTGTTAGGAGAGTAGCTCTCAAGACTGGGAAGGTATAGATATCATATCTTCAAATTCTAATACTGACTTCTTTACACGACTCTTTCTTTTCGTCTACATCTTGCCTCCATCATGTTAAACGAATGATTAAAAAGTTTGGAGATGAGCTGTCTGTATTCTGTCTTATATAAACAGATTGCATAATATCTCTATACGAGTGATTGATGTAGTATCATTGTGCTAAATCCAATAGACTAATCACTTTTTTGGCTCAGACGTAATGTTGTGACAAGGTAGACTTTATAATTTTTAATGAGGCATCTATTGTTTTGCTATATGCAGTTGAGGCTTTGCAAAAGATGGATGTTCTATTTTGGGGAGGGCTTAACTCTTTTTGGGGAAAGTTTTGTGTAGACCAAACATGTTGACAGATTTATTCTGCTTTTTTCACACAATAATGCTTCATTCTAAATTATAAGCAGCTTTGTTCTGCTGTGAGCTAAGCTTTGTAGGTTCTATGACCACTTTCCGAAAATAACGTGGGATATATTTGACATTCAAAAAATTTAAAGCTTGAAAATAGCTTATTAGAATAGCCTGAAATTTCCATTTCTCTTAATGACCTAAAACAACTTATTTTATTACTAATAAGCTTTTCTTGGGTGGCACCCAAATAATACAACAAAAATTAAAAGATTTTATGACATTAAAAAGGTCTGTTTGACCAGTGGATGCTGAAATAAACCCGTACTAATTCAATCATGATAATGACAAAGAATATGATGATTTAGGATTGTTGTGTGGAATCTTTCTTTCATCTTTGCCATAATATGTTTTTGAATATTTTGTTTGTTTTCAATCTTCTTGAAAGCTCATGTAACTTTGACGAGATTGTTGTGGAATATTATCATTTAAGAAGTAGATTGCTACACATGTCTGTTTACTAATCTGAGTTATATGGTATCCTCTTGCACGAGCTTGCTTTTCTCATGATTGTTGTTCAATTTTGTCTTCATTCAGTTACATCATACTTGTAGCACCTGTAGCATTTAAACAGTAATAATGCTAATATAGTAATTTCTCATTTTCTTTTGTACGCTATTCCAAGTAACTTGGTCGAGGCAAAAAGGTTTCATATATGACCGATATAATTTAAGCAAAGTCTGTTCTTCATCCTTTTTCTGCTATAATTGGTTCTTCATGGTTGTTAGTAGTTATCCTCTTGATTAGTTAAATAGAAGTCAATGAATACAAGTGAGGTCCATGTTTCTAATAACTCAAACTTCCACACACTACAAATGAGTTCCCCTTCTGGGTTTGTATTTGAAAGTATATGCAACATATTGTTATGGAGATTCTGATTTGTTTTTATCTTTTCTTGAAATAATTTTACTTCTGAGATGGCTAATATCCTTAGCTCGACCTAAAATTCAACTCACAACTTTGGAGAGTCTCACATGAGTAATGTTAACTGTGAATATGGATTTTTTATTGTTTGTCACAGTAGGAATGGTTTCTGAAATTCTGTCAAATAACCAGCGTTTTTGTCAAGTGGAAATTGAGTGAACTAGATTTTTTTTTTTTTAAAAAAAATATTAATAATTGTACATCTTAGTAATAAAATAATGGGACCTTAACAATATGCTTTTTGAATTCCTAAACAAAGAAGATTTATGCTTTCCTCCTTCGATTGGAATCCAATGTTTGAACTAATTTTGTTCTTTTCTGCATGTTTCAATTGGGTGATTGTAGGAGTACCATCTTCAAAAACAGCATAACTTTTTTACTAGGTCTTCTTAGTCCTCAAGTCTTTTATTTTTGGTTGAACTGATGTTTTGTCTTTGCCACAATGTGCAAGCTAGATTTTGCTTCTCCTTTATATTTTGTTTTGAAATTGTGCATTTGTCTGGAGTGCTTATTTGGTTGCTAGTCTGATCTTTAATATTTTTCATATGTTGTACACATTGCAGTTTGAGGAATTTAATCACCAGATGAAAGATGGTTGGGGACTTGCTACTGATGGAAAAGTTCTGTTTGGAAGTGATGGTTCTTCAACATTGACCAAATTGACCCTCAAACTTAAAGGTTTCTCTATATTTCAGCAGTTGTGCCTACGGGTGTAAATGAGCCGAGCCGAGCCGAGCTTGGGTTAATCGAGCTCGAGCTTGGCGAGCTTGAAAAATTTGAGGCTCGAGCTCGCCGTTGAAAATTCGAGTTCAATTCAAGCTCGAGCCTATTGAGTCAGTAAAAAACTCTCTATTTCTCTACTTTTTCACTTTCCTAATCGAGCTTTTTAAGCCGAAATTGGCAAGCTCAAATTCGGCTCACTCGGCTGGCACCCCTAGTTGTGCCAATTCCATTTTTTTTTTTTTTTTTTTATAATTTTGAATATACATTTTGCCTCTTGACTGTTGTATTGGAGCAATAAACTGGTATATCCTAAGGAGTTACTTGACTTTGGTACTATCATACCTTCACTTTTTTCAACTGACCTTTTAGTTCCGTACTAGGCAAAGTTGTGATTTAATCTTTATTTTCTGACTGTATTTATGTTGATTCATTTGCTTTATTGTTGAATTTGGGTTGCTTTTGATGCAGTTATCAGAAAAAATGTTGTCAAATACAAAGGTAGAGAAATACGGTACCTCAATGAACTAGAGTCATAAATGGTGAGTTTGGGCAAATGTTATATGTGGTCCTTGCCTATGCATTCTTTATTTGCAAGCTGTTTAGTATCAGAATTTTCCATCACTTGGTGAGGCATTGGCATTAGTCCAAAATGAGAGAAGAAAGACCAGAGAGATGGAGGGCATAGTTATTAATTGCTTGTTGCATGCAGCCCAAAAGAAACCAAAGAAAAACTGGCCATTAATTTATGAAGCATAAATATCAAATGAGGAATATAAATATGGTGGAGTCTAGATATATAATGGGAGGTTCTTGTAATTACAATGGTGAGGATAGGCTTGAAATTGTAACCTACCATGTTTAAAACTTATATGATGAGCCCTTTCCAAGTTCTTTATCATCATATCTATATAACATAACTCAAGAAATGTTGAGTGTTCTTCAGAATCACAAATTTACTTTTGAAATCGAGTAATAGGAATTCTGGTTTGCCTTTATAAGGAAAACCATGATATGGTTGGATATTTTTATAGAGCATTACACTTTCTTCTCGTTTAGATATGAGCTATTTGTGGTGTAATTTAATGAAATTGTCTGATATTTTACTATTTCTTACATTGTAGACTGACGGCATTGCTAGAATCTCACTGAGGATGTTATGGTGCTTGGATGGATTCTGCTTCCCAGTTTAAGGTTTTGTTTTACATTTCCCTTCTCCTTATAATGGATTATATAATATCCCTTATGTAATCATCTGTAAATAAGCTTTTTTTTCTCAAATCATTTTGCTTCAGAGCTTTTAATTTTGCATTTTATTTCCATTTTGTCTTGCAGGGAAGGTTTGATAGCGGCCGGGTATACTGTAAGCATCAAACCAGATATAATATGTTCACTTTCTTTTCTTCTGAAAATATGGCTTGTGCTAGAATGTTGGCCATCTGGTTACTTGAAAGAGGAAGGGATTTCTTAAGAAAAAACTTCTTGAGCATTTTTAAGCACTACTATCATCCATTCTCTGTCTGATCCCACCTAAATATTTATGCAGAGAATCTCTATGTTCTTTCACTTTCATAATTAATTTGATTTGGAATTGCACTACCTTGTAGGGTATTGATGTTTTGAATGGCATAGCATGGGATCGCAACAAAAGCCGCATATTTGGTAATAGATTTTGTGTCCTTTCTCCAAATTACCATTATTATCATATATTTGATGCCTGATTTTTGGTGCATGTTGAACACTGTTGAGTGGAAAAAGGAACCTAATAAATCCTCATTTAGTTAGATATATTTATTACAGCATGCTGAAGTGCTGGAATCTATTTAATTTAATGAATATTTGTTCTAACTTTTGGATTTAGCAACACAAATATTGTTTTATTATCTGCTTAAGCATATGATTAATACTTCTATGTCTTTTGTAATCCATATTCTGGCATCAATTATCTCTCTATCCTAGCCAAAACACATTTTTAGTCTTACAGTCTTCTTTTACCACCGTAAACTGAACCCTCATTGATGCAGTTACCGATCTTATAGTTCTTGTGGCCAAATTGTTTGATTTGGTTTTTACCCAACTTGTAGTTGACTGGTGCTCCGGAATGCCCACCATTTCTTACCCGCCTTTCATGCATCCCATCATCTAATACAAGCTCCTTTCTTTTCCAACAGATGTATTTATCATAATTAAAATGATGATTGATATAATTGCCTCAAAATTTAATATATAATTTGATTGGTATGTCCCTTGGTACTCTGGAAGTGGTACTCTAAAAGTGGTCAATCGTCATACTCATATTACTCATAGTCTTACATATTGTTTCTTCTACGTATATGTTATCTCTTAATGTCTGTTTTAACAAATACATAGTATCTGCCTTTCCAAAATCTGTAGTTTTTATTTGCAATGGTAGCAAATGTGAATGGCTTTGGTTATTATAATTTATAGGCAAAAATGTTTCCTACATCAAAGTTTGTCTGATATATTGTTGTAGCTTGAAATATTGGTTTTGGATTGTCCATGTACACCTCCTAACTCTACACTATTGTAGTTACCGGTAAACTGTGGCCGAAGCTTTATGAGATCAAATTGTGTCCGATGAAGAAGCCACAGCAAGACGAGGGTGCTCGTATCGTTGAGCAGCTTTGCATGTTGGATGGGCGATTATAGAGATTGCACTGATAAATTCCCCCCTACCTGTATTTTCTGCTAATTGCACAGGACATGTAGTTGAGATGGAGAAATCTTCCCTGATGATTCGGATCATTTGTAGTTTTTTGTGTACTACTTCACTGCCTGTACTGTAGCTTCCGCAATATACAAACAATACAAATAAGAGAAAACACTAATTAGAAAAGTTAATTGAGCTTTAGGAAGTACTGTGAACCTTCAATTTGATATTTGATCTTTCAGTTTAATATGCAAGCTAATAGAACTCTCTCTCTCTCTCTCTCTCTCTCTAATTTCTTTGGACGCAATCTGTAACATAAATAAGATCCAAAATACACAGTATGATTTAGGCATATGGGTGGTATTTTTCTCTGTTTTCATCACATTATACGTAAAGATACCTTTAATTTGACAAATTCTAAGCAAGGCCTAGGATTTGTTTGGTCAGCAATCTTAATATAAGATTTTAGAAATTAGTATTCAAGTTGAACATATATAATGCATAATTTAGCATCGAATACTACAATTTAGTTGTCAAAATTAGTGAAAACATGTTTGGTAAATGTTAGAGAAATTTTCTAATATTTTAGAAACTAAAAAAATCATGAAGGAATCAAACACCAGATTGACCAAGTGACAGAACAAAAAATGGTGTTTTGATCAAGCAGTGATCCTCCGTTGGTTTTATTAGCATATTTTTCATGACTCATCTCTCCAGTCTCAACCAAATCCACATCCAGATTTCCCGCTACTCCAAACAGTTAGTTTCTTCATCATATCTGAATTAGTTTCTTCATCATATCTGAATTCTGAACCATTCCAAGGAGAGTTATAGCTAACCTCAAACTCTTAAAAACCAAATTGAACTTCCACTTTTATTTCCATGAATAAATCTCACAACCCCTTAACTTAATTCACCTTATTAATGGCATTTAATGCACCATCCCCCGAGAAGAAGCTGTCTAAGCATACTCCATTTTTTGGGATTCAAGTATGGATCTTGATAATCACTCTGATTGCATTATTCTTGCTGATCATTCTCACCATTCTTTACCTTTGCATCATCTTTCATCGTCGCAAAAAATCCTACAAACCTCGTTTTTTCCTTCCAAGAAATCCCATTTCTGCCAAGACTTATCAAAACCACCATTTCAGCACTTCATCCCTGGATAGTAGGCTTTTATCCGCGTCTAACAACATTTCAGAGATTGAGATGAATCTTTCAAAGCCTGAGTTTCAAATGATGTTATCTGATCCTTGCTCTATCAAGTCTAGTCTCGTCACTGACCTCGAATCAACTGCCGGCCTCTCGGAGAGACAGTACGGTAACAGGTGTTCTCTGAAGGAGATTGCATTGGTAACTAATGATTTTTCAGGGGAGAACATGATTGCAAGCGGCGACAATGGGATGGTTTATCGTGCTGTTTTGTTGGATAATAAGCGAGTAGCAGTGAAGAGGCTAATAATGAGTAACAGGTAGCTTGGCCTAAATTTATTCTGTTCATTTTGTTGTTTCCCTGTTAACATAGAGTTTGAGATTTTCAAATTTAACAAAAATGTAGATCATAAACAAAACTAACAGTTCCTTATTGATCAGTATAAGCCAAACAGAGAACTTCATCAAAGAAGTAGAGGCAATTGGGCTGGTAAGACACAAGAATCTGGTGAAGCTGCTTGGTTACTGTGTTGAAGGATATAACAGGTATTGATATTTGGTGAATTTTGAAAAATTTTCGGTCTATATTTTTACAAAATTGATGTCTTCAAACCTTTAACTTGAATTCACTTTTGATTAGGATACTTGTGTATGAATACATAGATAATGGCAATCTGTATCAGTGGCTTCATGGAAGTCTAGGACAACTGAGGCCTCTAACGTGGGGAATGCGGATGAATATTATTCAAGGAGTTGCAAAAGCGTGAGCCATATAATAATCTTTAACACTAGATTCAGTTTGTTCTGTTTTCTCTTATGATAATTATGTGCTCAATTACACAAAATAAATATATATGTTTTTTGCTCTCAGGTTGGCCTACCTTCATGAAGACATTGAACCAAAGATAATTCATCAAAATCTAAAGTCTAGTAACATACTGATTGATCACCAATGGAATCCTAAGATCTCTGATGTTGGAATTGCTAATCTTCATGGTCCTGAGTGGAGTTCTTTAACAAATTGTGCAATGGGAAAGTCAGTGTCAGTTATTTTTGCTTGAATTAATCTTTAATGTAGTTTTGTTATATGTATGGTCATGGAAATTATTGGATATACGAAAATTCTCTAGTGTAGACATTGACATACATCAATCAATAAAGACTTCATTTAACGAGGTCCCCATTTTTTTATTTAAAATACATACGATTAACTTATGTTTAAAGTTCCATGGTTTTATAGTTATGTATGTCGAGAATCTACCGGCAGTATTTTGGATGAGAAGAATGATGTTTATAGCTTTGGAATACTTATCATGGAGATTGTATCCGGAAGAGTATCGGTAGATCACACTCAACCCGAGGTACAGATTCCTAATTTTAGAACATTTCTTTGCATGATTTTAAGCCTTCTTGCATAGCTGGATTCTTGCTAATCAATCTACTTGAATTGAACTGTAATTGCAGGGTCATTTGGTTGACTGGTTAAAGTCAATGGTTGCAAAGCAGAAAATTTCATTTGTTGTGGATCCTAAATTGCCAGAAATGCCTTCTACAAAAGAACTAAAACGGGTTATTTTAATTGCCCTGCGATGCGTTGATCCTGAAGTAAAACATAGGCCGAAGATGGGAGATGTAGTTCACATGCTTGAGCCACGCGACTTGCTCCTTAATGTTGTAAGAACAATGTTTTTTTTTTTTTCCCCGGAGAGCTGTCGCATACTTACGAGCAAATTCTAACTATTCAAACTCTGTTGTTTCAACGTTGCAGGGGCCACAGATTAAGAAAGCGGCTTCTTATCATAAGTACCCACAAGAGAGACAGCCTGTTATCAAGTTGGGCAATGAAAATTCTAACACACATGAAAGTGAAAGCAGCAGTAATCGCTATCAAATGAAAATTTGAGCTCATGATATTTAATCATAAAATTCTTGTAAGTCGGAAGCTTAATTTATGGACTACTTTCAACACCAAATGTAATAAATACTACTTATTCCGAAAACAAGCATTAATATAAGAACAGCAAAGTTGCAAATCCTTATTGTTTTTTCAAGTCTGTATCATCTAGGAAGCATGGTCGATACGAGGAGTTGAAGAAATTAGAGTCTCAAACTAAAGTCTTCAAATGAACATTAGCGATGGGCAGTTTATTATCAGGGAAAAAGCAATCGGTATGTTCTTTTTTCTCAGGCAATAGATCGCATGCCGATGGAGTCACACTGCTCCTCACTCCTTGAACATTAGTGCAACTCCATTGTAATTCCTTTGGTTTATTTGTCAATCCAATACTTACATTTCATTATGAATCCCCTCAAGCCTCGTTGAGTAGGTGAAGTTATCAGCCACCATGTCTCTATAATTTATTCCTGAAATTTTTGCAAGTGCTTTTGGATCAAAACAAAGGGTCAGGGTGTGACCCATAAGAACCTGTCATCCAGAAAACATACTTCATAATTTTCAGTCATTCTTCTTATGTATATATATTTTACGTAACCTCTACTAACCGCAGTTTTAATCCTTACACCAGATTGAGTGTCAATGGCTATAATGTCTTCAGTTTTTACGTCTTTAATTCCACCCGACATCTCACTACCAAGAGCAATGGTGGCGCCGTCCGGTGAAATGCAAGTTAGCCTTCTTGTGATGAGGTGTTGCGTTGACATTCCTAACTTTAATTCCATATTGATTCCAACCACTTTTAGCTGCAATGCATTACGGAAAAGAAAAGGTTATATAATTAAAAGAAACAAACGTGGGTTTATTCCATCTGTGTTAGGAGAATCTACTGGTGTGAGAATTGTAAGACCTTGAACCAATACATTACGGAAAAGAAAAGGTTAGGATCATGTAGTTAACCCAATGTATTGATAGTAAGTTGAGATCATATGCTTATAATAAAATACTAATTGTAAAAATTTGTAAATATGGATCAATTTGTTGGATTAGACCTTCAATATATAGGGTGGACATTTCATAATGGAGAATTGATTAAGGTTATGTTGGATATTTGCTGTGATTTTCAAAATTTATGATTTTGTGTTTGATAAAATAGATTTTGAAAATCTATGATTGTGTGTTTGGTAAATTACATTTTGGCAAATTAGTTTTGCGTTAAGGTTTACTTTTAGGACTGGTTATGCCACCGTCGATCCCACAAGAGCCAACACATACCAATCTATTGGAATTCGGTTAAATCATCAGATTCCGACCTATATATTGGCTACAGAAGGTGAAGAAAGATTTGGCCACCTTCTAATTTGTCATTTTATAAAATAAAATCAGCTTTAAAAATAATTTAATTTTTAAAAGCTACTCCTACTAGCTTTTAGAATCCTTCTACAAATCTAATTATTTTACAACTAGCTTCAAACTTAATCAGTTTTAAAAGCTGTTTACCAAACACTTTTATTGTTATAGATTAAAACTTAATTGATTATTTCTTAAGTTACAACAATCACAAACACACATATTTATATCTTTTTAAATAAGATTCAAAAGCTAACAGTTTTAATACAAAATAGTATAAGTATAGAAAAGGTATATAAGATAATAATTGGTCTTGAAAAATCATCCAAATATGGGAGCAAGCCTTGAAAAAAACCATTACTTATAAGAGTTTTTGGGTTGTGGTGGGAGAATTCAAAATTTGGGGGTGTGAGTTTAGAAAAAATATATTATGACATTTTTATGAACATAAAACAATATATGGAAGCCATTTCCAGGCCTGGATGCTTTATTGACCTCACTGTTATGTTATAATTGCAAATAAGCTAGATCGTTGGTATAAACATGTATTTAATGTGGTAGAACCTAAATTGCTTGAGAAATGCCTTCTACGAAGTATTTCTAACAATTTGTTTCAATAGGATTTTTATCATAACTGTTCAAGAGAGAGTTAGATATGGTAAAACCGATCGCAGATCATTTTGTATCATTTTGTCATAAAACCAAGTTGTGTAAGAATTTTTTTTAGAGACTATTTTGTACATCAATATATAATAAATTCTATTTTTTTTTCTATATTAAACAAACATGCAATAATTAAACAGCAAACTCGTATTCTTATTTCAATTTTTTTCTATAACAATATAAGATTATGATATAGTTTACAAATCAATAATAATTGTGTTGATGCGTGATTTTTATACCAACGAAACGCATGTGTGAAATGTTGAGCAGGCTCAAAGGACACACGTGAATGTAAAGGAAAAAAGATAGTAAATGCAATGGGGACAGTTTTTAAAGTGGTTCGGATGCTAAGGTAGCAAATCCCACGTCCACTGATGCTTATATTGATGATAAGGGTCAGGTCGCTTTTAGCTGACTGACTTTACAATAATATTACAAGGTATCAAATGCTAATAATTCTAGGGAGAGAGGGAATAGTTAATCAAGTGTAAAAATGTGCGAATCCCCCTTTAATGAGAGAGGAGCTCCCAATTTATAGTGGGATGCATTGAGGCAATGATCACTAAATCTGTAAGTTGGTGGGATTATCCGTGCAAATCCTTCTTTATGTCATCTTTCAGTTTAATATGCAAGCTAAGAATTCTCTCTCTCGCTCAATTTCTTGGACGCAATCTGACATAAATAAGATCCAAAATACACAGTATGATTTAGGCATATGGGTGTATTTTTCTCTGTTTTCATCACATTATACGTAAAGATACCTTTATTTTGACAAATTCTAAGCAGGCCTAGGATTTGTTTGGTCTGCAATCTTATATAAATTTTAGAAATTAGTATTCAAGTAGAACGTATATAATGCATAATTTAGCTCGAATACTACAATTTATTTGTCAAAATTAGTGAAAACATGTTTGGTAAATGTTAGAGAAATTTTCTAATATTTGAAACTAATAAAATCATGAAAGGATCAAACACCAGATTGACCAAGTAACTGAACCAAATCCACATCCAGATTTCCCGCTACCATACAGTTAGTTTCTTCATCATATCTGAATTCTGAACCATTTCCAAGGAGAGTTATAGCTAACCTCAAACTCTTAAAAACCAAATTGAACTTCCACTTTTATTTCCATGAATAAATCCACAACCCCTTAACTTAATCACTTTAATGGCATTTAATGCACCATCCCCCGAGAAGAAGCTGTCCAAGCATCTCCATTTTTGGGATTCAAGTATGGATCTTGATAATCACTCTGATTGCATTATTCTTGCTGATCATTCTCACCATTCTTTACCTTTGCATCATCTTTCATCGTCGCAAAAAATCCTACAAACCTCGTTTTTTTCCTTCCAAGAAATCCCATTTCTGCCAGACTTATCAAACCCCATTTCAGCACTTCATCCCTGGATAGTAGGCTTTTATCCCGCGTCTAACAACATTTCAGAGATTGGATGAATCTTTCAAAGCCTGAGTTTCAAATGATGGTATCTGATCCTTGCTCTATCAAGTCTGTCTCGTCACTGACCTCGAATCAACTGCCGGCCTCTCGGAGAGACAGTACGGTAACAGGTGTTCTCTAAGGATATTGCATTGGTAACTAATGATTTTCTGGGGAGAACATGTTGCAAGCGGGCGACAATGGGATGGTTTATCGTGCGTGTTTTGTTGGATAATAACGGAGTAGCAGTGAAGAGGCTAATAGAGTACCAGCGTACTTGGCCTAATTTATTCTTTCATTTTGTTGTTTCCCTGTTAACATAGAGTTTTAGATTTTCAAATTTAACAAAAATGTAGATCATAAACAAAACTAACAGTTCCTTATTGATCAGTATAAGCCAAACAGAGAACTTCATCAAAGAAGTAGAGGCTTTGGGCTGTAAGACACAAGAATCTGGTGAAGCTGCTTGGTTACTGTGTTAAAGGATATACAGGTATTGATATTTGTTGAATTTTGAAAATTTTCGGTCTATATTTTTACAAAATTGATGTCTTCAAACTTTAACTTGAATTCACTTTTGATTAGGATACTTGTGTATGAGTACATGATAATGGCAATCTGTATCAGTGGCTTCATGGAAGTCGGACAACTGAGGCCTCTAACGGGGAATGCGGATAATATTATTCAAGGAGTTTGCAAAAGCGTGAGCCTATAATAACTTTAACACTAGATTATTTGTTCTGTTTTCTCTTATAATAATTATGTCTCAGTTACTTAAATAATATATATTTTTTGCTCTCAGGTTGGCCTACCTTCATGAAGACATTGAACCAAAGATAATTCATCAAAATCTAAAGTCTAGTACATACTGATTGATCACCATGGAATCCTAAGATCTCTGATGTTGGAATTGCTAATCTTCATGGTCCTGAGTGGAGTTCTTTAACAAATTGTGCAATGGGAAAGTCGGGGTCAGTTATTTTTGCTTGAATTAATCTTTAATGTATGTTTGTTATATGTATTTTCATGGAAATTATTGGATATACGAAATTCTCTAGTGTAACATTTGACATACATCAATCAATAAAGACTTCATTTAACGAGGTCCCCATTTTTTTAATAATCCATCGATAACTTATGTTTAAAGTTCCATGGTTTTTAAGTTATGAATCTCGAGAATCTACCGGCAGTATTTTGGATGAAAGAAGATGTTTATTGCTTTGGAATACTTATCATGGAGATTGTATCCGAGAGTATCGGTAGATCAACTCAACCCGAGTTACAGATTCCTAATTTTAAGAACATTTCTTTGCATGATTTAAGCCTTCTTGCATAGCTGATTCTTGCTAATCACTCTACTGTGAATTGAGCTGTAATTGCAGGGTCATTTGGTTGACTGGTTAAAGTCCATGGTTGCAAAGCAAAAATTTCATTTGTTGTGGATCCTAAATTGCCAGAAATGCCTTCTACAAAGAACTAAAACGGGTTATTTTAATTGCCCTGCGATGCGTTGATCCTGAAGTAAAACATAGGCCGAAGATGGGAGATGTATTCACATGCTTGAGCCCACGCGACTTGCTCCTTAATGTTGTAAGAACAATGTTTTTTTTTTTTCCCGAGAGCTGCCGCATACTTAAAGCAAAATTCTAACTATTCAAACTCTGTTGTTTCAACATTGCAGGGGCCACAGATTAAGAAAGCGGCTTCTTATCATAAGTACCCACAGAAGTCAGCCTGTTATCAAGTTGGGTCATGAAGATTCTAACACACATGAAATTGAAGCAGCAGAATCGTATCAAATGAAAATTTGAGCTCATGAGGAAAAAGCTTAATTTATGGACTACTTTTCACCACCAATGTAATAAATACTACTTATTCCGAAAACAACATTAATATAAGAATTGTTGAATTTGGGTTGCTTTTGATGCAGTTATCAGAAAAAATGTTGTCAAATACAAAGGTAGAGAAATACGGTACCTCAATGAACTAGAGTTCATAAATGGTGAAGTTTGGGCAAATGTTTATATGGTATGTCCTTGCCTATGCATTCTTTATTTGCAAGCTCTTTATGATCAGAATTTTCCATCCATTTGGTGAAGGCATTGGCATTAGTCCAAAATGAGAGAAGGAAAGGACCAGAGAGATGGAGGGCATAGATTATTAATTGCTTGTTGGCATGCAGCCCAAAAGAAACCAAAGAAAAACTGGCCATTAATTTATGAAGCATAAATATCAAATGAGGAATATAAATATGGTGGAGTCTAGATATATAATGGGAGGTTCTTGAATAAGTACAATGGTGAGGATAGGCTTGAAATTGTAACCTACCATGTTTACAAAACTTATATGATGAGCCCTTTCCAAGTTCTTTATCATCATATTCTATTAAACATAGACTCAAGAAATGTTGAGTGTTCTTCAGGAAATCACAAAATTTACTTTTGAAATCGAGTAATAGGAATTCTGGTTTGCCTTTAGTAAGGAAAACCATGATATGGTTGGATATTTTTATAGAGCATTACACTTTCTTCTCGTTTAGATATGAGCTATTTGTGGTGTAATTTTAATGAAATTGTCTGATATTTTACTATTTCTTACATTGTAGACTGACTGCATTGCTAGAATCTCACATGAGGATGGTATGGTGCTTGGATGGATTCTGCTTCCCAGTTTAAGGTTTTGTTTTACATTTCCCTTCTCCTTATAATGGATTATCTGATAATATCCTTAATGTAATCATCTGTAAATAAGCTTTTTTTTCTCAAATCATTTTGCTTCAGAGCTTTTAATTTTGCATTTTATTTCTATTTTGTCTTGCAGGGAAGGTTTGATAGCGGCCGGGTATACTGTAAGCATCAAACCAGATATAATATGTTCACTTTCTTTTCTTCTGAAAATATGGCTTGTGCTAGAATGTTGGCCATCTGGTTACTTGAAAGAGGAAGGGATTTCTTAAGAAAAAACTTCTTGAGCATTTTTAAGCACTACTATCATCCATTCTCTGTCTGATCCCACCTAAATATTTATGCAGAGAATCTCTATGTTCTTTCACTTTCATAATTAATTTGATTTGGAATTGCACTACCTTGTAGGGTATTGATGTTTTGAATGGCATAGCATGGGATCGCAACAAAAGCCGCATATTTGGTAATAGATTTTGTGTCCTTTCTCCAAATTACCATTATTATCATATATTTGATGCCTGATTTTTGGTGCATGTTGAACACTGTTGAGTGGAAAAAGGAACCTAATAAATCCTCATTTAGTTAGATATATTTATTACAGCATGCTGAAGTGCTGGAATCTATTTAATTTAATGAATATTTGTTCTAACTTTTGGATTTAGCAACACAAATATTGTTTTATTATCCTGCTTAAGCATATGATTATTACTTCTATGTCTTTTGTAATCCATATTCTGGCATCAATTATCTCTCTATCCTAGCCAAAACACATTTTTAGTCTTACAGTCTTCTTTTACCACCGTAAACTGAACCCTCATTGATGCAGTTACCGATCTTATAGTTCTTGTGGCCAAATTGTTTGATTTGGTTTTTACCCAACTTGTAGTTGACTGGTGCTCTGGAATGCCCACCATTTCTTGCCCGCCTTTCATGCATCCTATCATGTAATACAAGATCTCCTTTCTTTTCCAACAGATGTAATCATCATAATTAAAATGATTATTGATATAGTTGCCTCAAAATTTAATATATAATTTGATTGGTATGTCCCTTGGTACTCCAGAAGTGGTACTCTAAAAGTGGTCAATCGTCATACTCATATTACTCATAGTCTTGCATATTGTTTCTTCTACGTATATGTCATCTCTTAATGTCTGTTTTAACAAATACATAGTATCTGCCTTTCCAAAATCTGTAGTTTTTATTTGCAATGGTAGGAAATGTGAACGGCTTTGGTTATTATAATTTATAGGCAAAAATGTTTCCTACATCAAAGTTTGTCTGATATATTGTTGTAGCTTGAAATATTGGTTTTGGATTGTCCATGTACACCTCCTAACTCTACACTTTTGTAGTTACCGGTAAACTGTGGCCGAAGCTTTATGAGATCAAATTGTGTCCGATGAAGAAGCCACAGCAAGACGAGGGTGCTCGTATCGTTGAGCAGCTTTGCATGTTGGATGGGCGATTATAGAGATTGCACTGATAAATTCCCCCCTACCTGTATTTTCTGCTAATTGCACAGGACATGTAGTTGAGATGGAGAAATCTTCCCTGATGATTCGGATCATTTGTAGTTTTTTGTGTACTACTTCACTGCCTGTACTGTAGCTTCCGCAATATACAAACAATACAAATAAGAGAAAACACTAATTAGAAAAGTTAATTGAGCTTTAGGAAGTACTGTGAACCTTCAATTTGATATTTGATCTTTCAGTTTAATATGCAAGCTAATAGAACTCTCTCTCTCTCTCTCTCTCTCTCTAATTTCTTTGGACGCAATCTGTAACATAAATAAGATCCAAAATACACAGTATGATTTAGGCATATGGGTGGTATTTTTCTCTGTTTTCATCACATTATACGTAAAGATACCTTTAATTTGACCTAGTTGACTAATAATAAACTCCAAGCCGAATCCCTCTCTGTCTTCTTCTTTATTCCGCATGGATTCTTCTCATTTGGCTCGATTCAGTTGCAGAAGAAAACCTGCTGCTGTCTTAATCTTTCTAATCGTTTGTGGTATGGTTGCCTTAAGCATTTCGTCTGAGATGTGGAATAAGTTCGTCCGATATCTTGATTACTGGCCCACATTTACTCCATTCAAGTTGTCAACGAGTTTCCTCATGATCAGAGCCTATACTGAGGTAATTACTAATATTCTTGTTAACATTTAACTATTTTGTGAAGTTCTAGAAAGACCTGTTAATAATCAGGAACTCATATTGAAAGGTGATTGATGTTAAGTTTGGGATTTGCAGCAATGGGAAAAGCATAGAGAATTGGTACCGCGTGAATTGCTGTTCTTTTGTCCATTTCGATGCTACCTCGTGAATTTCGTTTCTTTTGTTTCCATTATCAATGCTAATTTTTTGGATCCAAAGGAATATATTGAGGAAACGAATTGAGTACGATGGCATGGAATTGAACATAGAATTGGAATTGGAACAATTTTTTTAACGAAAAATAGACATGGACTTCTACAGTTCCACTTATTCAGGGTGAAGCTATATTCCATGGTACATACAAAATGTAAAAGTAACTTAAAATTATCATGCAGAGTGCATTATTCCTTTCTCTGTAAATTTCTTATATTTTTATGGAATCAGTCAACATTCTGCTTGTTGCTTTCAGGGGCTTTGTATGTTGACGATGATACATATTTGAGTCAGCTGGTCTTTATGGGATGGTAAGTTGCTCTATTGTTATATACATATTACTGTAGTTTTTATGTTTTGAGCAAATTGATATCTTTGCGATCTCATCATATTTTGCATATTACGCTTTCTTCGTTGCCAAACTACTGTTTAATAACTCACCTTTGACCTTTTTACTCTTCTGGTTACAGTCATCTGTTAGGAGAGTAGCTCTCAAGACTGGGAAGGTATAGATATCAATCCTCAAATTTAATACTGACTTTAAACGGACTCTTCTTCTCATCTACATCTTGCCTCCATTGTTAAACGAATGATGTAAAAAGTTTGAGATGAGCTGTTCTGTATTCTGTCTATATAAACAGATTGCATAATATCTCTATACGAGTGATTGATGTAGTATCATTGTGTAAATCATAGACTAATCGCTTTTGTGCTCAGACGTAATGTTGTGACAAGGTAGACTTTATAATTTTTAATGAAGCATCTATGTGTTTGCTGTATGCAGGTTGAGGCTTTGCAAAAGATGGATGATTCATATTTTGGGGAGGGCTGTAAACTTTTTGGGGAAAGGGTGTGTGTAGAACCAAACATGTTGACAGATTATTTGCTTTTTCACACAATAATGCTTCATTAAATTATAAGTTTGTTCTGCTGTGAGCTAAGCTTTGTAGGTTCTATGACCACTTTCGAAAATAACTGGGATATATTTGACATTCAAAAATTTAAAGCTTGAAAAAGCTTATTAGAATGCCTGAAATTCCATTTCTCTTAGTAGACCTAAAACAACTATTTTATTGCTAATAAGCTTTTCTTGGGTGGCAACCAAATAATACACAAAAAATAAAAGAGTTTATGACATTAAAAAGGTCTGTTTGACCAGTGGATAAGCTGAAATAAACACCTACTAAATTGCAATCATGATAATGACAAAGAATGATGAATTTAGGATTGTTGTGTGGAATCTTTCTTTCATCTTTGCCATTATGTGTTTTTGAATTGTTGATTTGTTTTCAATCTTCTTGAAAGCTCATGTAACTTTGACGAGATTGTTGTGGATATATCATTAAGAAGTAGATTGCTGCACCTGTCGTGTTACTAATCTGAGTTATATGGTATTCCTCTTGCACGAGCTTGCTTTTCTCATGATTGTGTGTTCAATTTGTCTTCATTCGGTTACATCTACTTGTAGCACTGTAGCATTTAAACAGTATATGCTAATATAGTAATTTCTCATTTTCTTTGTAGGCTATTCCAAGTAACTTGGTCGAGGCAAAAAAGTTCATGTATGACCGATATAATTTAAGCAAAGTCTGTCTTCATCCTTTTTCTGCTATAATTGGTTTTTGTCATGATTATTAAGTAGTTATCCTCTTGATTTAGTTAAATTGAAGTCAATGAATACAAGTGAGGTCCATGTTTCTATAAACTTAACTCCACACACTACAAATGAGTTCCCTTCTGGGTTTGTATTTGAAAAGTATATGCATACATATTGTTATGGAGATTCTGATTTGTTTTATCTTTTCTTGAAATAATTTTACTTCGAGATGGCTAATATCCTTAGCTCGGACTAAATTCAACTCACAACTTTGAGGAGCTGACAATGAGTAATGTTAACTGTGAATATGGATTTGTTATTTGTTGTCACAGTAGGAATGGTTTCTGAAATTATGTCAAAATAACCAGCGTTTTTGTCAAGTGGAAATATGAATGAACATAGATATTTTTTTTTTTTTTAATAATAAAGTCGTACATTTAGGTAATAAAATGAATGGGACCTTAAAATATGCTATTTTGAATTCCTAAACAAAGAAGCTTTTATGCTTTCCTCCTTCGATTGGAATCCAATGTTTGAACTAATTTTGTTCTTTTCTGCATGTTTCAATTGGGTGATTGTAGAGAGTACCATCTTCAAAAACAGCATAACTTTTTAGCTAGGTTTCTTATGTCATCCAAGTCTTATTTTTGTTGAACTGATGTTTTGTCTTTGCCACAAGTGCAAACTAGATTTTGCTTCTCCTTTAATATTTGTTTTGAAATTAGGTGCATTTGTCTCGGAGTGTTATTTGGTTGCTAGTTGATCTGTAATATTTTTTATATGTTGTACATTGCAGTTTGAGGAATTAATCATCAGATGAAAGATGGTTGGGGACTTGACTGATGGAAAAGTTCTGTTTGGAAGTGATGGTTCTTCAACATTGTACCAAATTGACCCTCAAACATTTAAAGGTTTCTCTTATATTCAGCAGTTTGCCTAGGGGTGTAAATGAGCCGACCGAGCCGAGCGAGCTTTGGGTTAATCGAGCTCGAGCTTGGCGAGCTTGAAAAATTTGAGGCTTGGGCTCGACGTTGAAAATTCGAGTTCGAGTTCGAGCCGAGCCTAATTGAGCTCAGTAAAAACTTTCCAGTTCTCACTTTTTCACTTCCTAATCGAGCTTTTTAAGTCGAAATTTGGCAAGCTCAAATTCGGCTCGGCTTGGCTGGCACCCCTAGTTGTGCCAATTCCATTTTTTTTTTTTATAATTTTGAATTACATTTTGCCTTTGACTGTTGTATTGGAGCAAATAAACTGGTATGTAATCCTAAGGAGTTACTTAGACTTTGGTACTATCATAGCCTTCACTTTTTTCAACTGACCTTTTAGTGCCGTACTAGGCGATAGTTTGTGATTTGATCTTTATTTTCTGATTGTAATTTGTTGATTCATTTGCTTTATTGTTGAATTTGGGTTGCTTTGATGCAGTTATCAGAAAAAAATGTTGTCAAATACAAAGGTAGAGAAATACGGTACCTCAATGAACTAGAGTTTATAAATGGTGAAGTTGGGCAAATGTTTATATGGTATGTCCTTGCCTATGCATTCTTATTTGCAAGCTCTTTAGATAAAAAGGAATATATATAGCTGTATAAAACCCAAACCGCCCTAAGAATTTGTGTCTGAGTGAATTTGGTTTGCACACCTGCCCAAGCCCCAGCCCCATTTAATTTAAGGATATACTTGGGAGTTCTCAATGAATGGGAATGTAGGAAGGATCTTCACGATGTCATACCACTTGCAAAATGTAATCATTACCTTGAGCAAAACCGGTATAAATAAGTAGCTCTTCCTCACAAAAGAGATGTTAGACACAAATTTTTACAAAGAAAAATTGTGAAAATTAGCAAAGACACCCTACTAGAAAGAGACTAGCTGAACATTCTCTCAAAACACAAACACTTGTAACCACGGATCGCAGCTCGTGACCTCTTGTAAGTTTGTGTCACGATCAGAAAAACGTTTATATATACAATCATAGTGGATGTAGAATTCACTTTAAGCATCTGAACCATTATAAAATTTCTCTTGTGACATTTATTTTACATATTTGCATGCTATTGTTTTCACAGCACCTTACCCACTCACTATAATCTGTTCACGTGTGACTTCTTAGCACTTTACACATACGAAGTCGTTGATGTCAAAATCAAGCATCAACACACAACGACAATAACAACTAGATGATCGTTTGATTTCGGCTCAAATGTGTCAGTTGTTTCATAGATTTATCCCTATATTTTATTAGTTCAAGCTCAAGGCAAGCTCCTGTTGAATGTTGACTTGATAAGCTTAAGGAAGGTCATGCATGAAAAGAACATTATTAATTGATTTGTAGTTGCTCAATCAGCCATTCTTCCGCCAGATGATATTTGCCAATCAATAATAAATTTCGTTTGATCAACAGTAGCCGTAGGAGTATTTGATGGATTGTTTAAAATTCTACGTCTGCAGAGTAAAAGATCGCTTGTAGGGGAACATAAATTACCCATATAATGTCTTCTACAAAGAAACCATCCGTAAAAGAGTTGGACCCGAGTTGGACCCAAGTTGGGCCAAGACAGTTTCAATATAGATGATTGGGAACACAACAGAGTAACTGCTATCAAAATGAAAATTTGATCTCATGAAACCAAGTTGTATACGAAGTTAATTTTAGAGACAATTTTCAACACCAATATGTAATAAATGTTCTTCAAACTTGATTAAAAAGAATAAGATATAAAGTAAAGCTTAATCATTATAGATTCAATTTTCTTACATATTATAAGTAGAAGCAGCATGGTATCAACTATAAACCATTGTAAATATAACGAGGTGGATAAATCATCCGGACTAAGTTGTAGAACAACTTTGCAGCTTAACTTCGTCCATGGGTAGCTTATCCTCACGGGAAAAAAAAAATCATTATGTTACTTCTCTAGTGTTGTAACCAAACTACAATACCCACATATCAAATATCACACAAGCCACAAAGAAAAGCAAGAACCAACACAAGACACAGATTTTACCGTGGTTCACTTATCTAAATTGGATAAGTTACGTCCACGTTGAGCTTTGGAAATGGGAGAGCTCACTGCACTACTTATTAGAACAAGATTCAACCAAGAACAAGTAGAAGCCCAATCAAACTCTCAATGATTAAAAGAAATCCTTACAGTAGCTAATCCTAGAGATACTCACATGGAATCCCCAAGAACAAGAGCAAATAAACCCTACTGATTAACTAACAGATTACCCAATCATACAAATTATAAAGATTTCAAAGATCAATTTAAGACCTTTAACAGAGAGAAAAACGTGAATGTAAAAGCTCTTCAACCAGAGACAAAAAAGCAACCTTTATTTTACTATGCATTACCCCTTTTTATAGTGTTGACTTAATGAAGCTTCTCAGCCATCGGATCAGGTTTGGATCAACGATTAGGATTCATCGTAGACAAATATCAAAGTGCAACGTTTCATTTGGATTTCAAAACTGCATCATTTTAGTATTCACTTCAACATTTAGTAACAAATTGCACGCTGGAGGAGTCAAAAGATTTGTAAATCTCTGAACCTCTGTACAATTCCATTGTTCTTTCGGTTTCGTTGTCAATCCAATAGTTACATTAGAATTATACAAATGTTGGTAAAGGGATTTAATTTTACATAAATCTTAACCTTAGATCTTCATTACCTAATCCTAAATTTTCATAATCATTGAAATTTTTTGTTATATTTTAAGTAGTTTTTTGTTTAATGAAAATATAATACTAAAAGATGAAGACGGAGAGAATTTGAGATTTGATGGATATTTTAAATAGAAGTAAAAGGTTTAAAGGGTAGTTGGGCAATAGCACTTTTATATTGTTTCGAAATTCAAAAATCACTATCATATTAATTTAAGGCTGAGAATTGGAAGAACCATATTGGGAAGCATTCGTGTTGTTTACTCAAAAAAAAAAAAAAAAAAAAAAAATGCTGCTGTCTGCTGACATTTCTTAATCCTCTTTGATGGAACTATTTAATAATGGCGAGCAGATCACTAAAAAAGAAATTGAATAAGTGATCTAATAATAACTCCAAGCCGAATCCCTCTCTGTCTTCTTCTTCTTTATCTTCATGCATGGATTCTTCTCATTTGGCTCGATTCAGTTGCAGAAGAACCCCTGCTGCTGTCTTAATCTTTCTAATCGTTTGTGGTATGGTTGCCTTAAGCATTTCGTCTGAGATGTGGAATAAGTTCGTCCGATATCTTGATTACTGGCCCAACATTTACTCCATTCAAGTTGTCAACGAGTTTCCTCATGATCCCAGATCCTATACTGAGGTAATTACTAATATTCTTGTTAACATTTAACTATTTCTGTGAAGTTACTAGAATGACCTGTTAATAATCAGGAACTCATATTGAAAAGGTGATTGATGTTAAGTTTGGAATTTGCAGCAATGGGAAACGCATAGAGAATTGGTACCGCGTGAATTGCTGTTTCTTTTGTTTCCATTTCGATGCTACCTCGTGAATTTCTGTTTCTTTTGTTTCCATTATCAATGCTAATTTTTTTGGATCCAAAGGAATATATTGAGGAAACGAATTGAGTACGATGGCATGGAATTTGAACATAGAATTGGAATTGGAACAATTTTTTAAACGAAAAATAGACATGGACTTCTACAGTTCCACTTATTCAAGTTGAAGCTCTAATTCCATGGTACAATACAAAATGTAAAAGTAACTTAAAATTATCATGCAGAGTGCATTATTCCTTTCTCTGTAAATTTCTTATATTTTTATGGAATCAGTCAACATTCTGCTTGTTTGCTTTCAGGGGCTTCTGTATGTTGACGATGATACATTATTTGAGTCAGCTGGTCTTTATGGGATGGTAAGTTTGCTCTATTTGTTTATATACATATTACTAGTAGTTTTTATGTTTTGAGCAAATTGATATCTTTGCGATCTCATCATATTTTGCATATTACGCTTTCTTCGTTGCCAAACTACTGTTTAATAACTCACCTTTGACCTTTTTACTCTTCTGGTTACAGTCATCTGTTAGGAGAGTAGCTCTCAAGACTGGGAAGGTATAGATATCATATCTTCAAATTCTAATACTGACTTCTTTAAACGGACTCTTTCTTCTCATCTACATCTTGCCTCCATCATGTTAAACGAATGATGTAAAAAGTTTGAGATGAGCTGTTCTGTATTCTGTCTTATATAAACAGATTGCATAATATCTCTATACGAGTGATTGATGTAGTATCATTGTGCTAAATCCAATAGACTAATCGCTTTTTGTGCTCAGACGTAATGTTGTGACAAGGTAGACTTTATAATTTTTAATGAAGCATCTATTGTGTTTGCTGTATGCAGGTTGAGGCTTTGCAAAAGATGGATGATTCGTATTTTGGGGAGGGCTTAACTCTTTTTGGGGAAAGGTTTGTGTAGAACCAAACATGTTGACAGATTTATTCTGCTTTTTTCACACAATAATGCTTCATTCTAAATTATAAGCAGCTTTGTTCTGCTGTGAGCTAAGCTTTGTAGGTTCTATGACCACTTTCCGAAAATAACGTGGGATATATTTGACATTCAAAAAATTTAAAAGCTTGAAAATAGCTTATTAGAATAGCCTGAAATTTCCATTTCTCTTAATAGACCTAAAACAACTTATTTTATTACTAATAAGCTTTTCTTGGGTGGCAACCAAATAATACAACAAAAATTAAAAGAGTTTATGACATTAAAAAGGTCTGTTTGACCAGTGGATAAGCTGAAATAAACACCTACTAAATTGCAATCATGATAATGACAAAGAATGATGAATTTAGGATTGTTGTGTGGAATCTTTCTTTCATCTTTGCCATAATATGTTTTTGAATATGTTGATTTGTTTTCAATCTTCTTGAAAGCTCATGTAACTTTGACGAGATTGTTGTGGAATATTATCATTTAAGAAGTAGATTGCTACACATGTCTGTTTACTAATCTGAGTTATATGGTATTCCTCTTGCACGAGCTTGCTTTTCTCATGATTGTTGTTCAATTTTGTCTTCATTCAGTTACATCATACTTGTAGCACCTGTAGCATTTAAACAGTAATAATGCTAATATAGTAATTTCTCATTTTCTTTTGTAGGCTATTCCAAGTAACTTGGTCGAGGCAAAAAGGTTTCATGTATGACCGATATAATTTAAGCAAAGTCTGTTCTTCATCCTTTTTCTGCTATAATTGGTTCTTTGTCATGATTATTAAGTAGTTATCCTCTTGATTTAGTTAAAATAGAAGTCAATGAATACAAGTGAGGTCCATGTTTCTATAAACTCATAACTTCCACACACTACAAATGAGTTCCCCTTCTGGGTTTGTATTTGAAAGTATATGCATACATATTGTTATGGAGATTCTGATTTGTTTTTATCTTTTCTTGAAATAATTTTACTTCTGAGATGGCTAATATCCTTAGCTCGGACCTAAAATTCAACTCACAACTTTGAGGAGTCTGACATGAGTAATGTTAACTGTGAATATGGATTTGTTATTTGTTGTCACAGTAGGAATGGTTTCTGAAATTATGTCAAAATAACCAGCGTTTTTGTCAAGTGGAAATATGAGTGAACTAGATTTTTTTTTTTTAAAAAAAATATTAATAAGTTGTACATCTTAGGTAATAAAATAAATGGGACCTTACAAATATGCTATTTTGAATTCCTAAACAAAGAAGCTTTTATGCTTTCCTCCTTCGATTGGAATCCAATGTTTGAACTAATTTTGTTCTTTTCTGCATGTTTCAATTGGGTGATTGTAGAGAGTACCATCTTCAAAAACAGCATAACTTTTTAGCTAGGTCTTCTTATGTCATCCAAGTCTTATTTTTTGGTTGAACTGATGTTTTGTCTTTGCCACAATGTGCAAACTAGATTTTGCTTCTCCTTTAATATTTTGTTTTGAAATTAGGTGCATTTGTCTCGGAGTGCTTATTTGGTTGCTAGTCTGATCTGTAATATTTTTCATATGTTGTACACATTGCAGTTTGAGGAATTTAATCATCAGATGAAAGATGGTTGGGGACTTGCTACTGATGGAAAAGTTCTGTTTGGAAGTGATGGTTCTTCAACATTGTACCAAATTGACCCTCAAACATTTAAAGGTTTCTCTTATATTCAGCAGTTTTGCCTAGGGGTGTAAATGAGCCGAGCCGAGCCGAGCCGAGCTTTGGGTTAATCGAGCTCGAGCTTGGCGAGCTTGAAAAATTTGAGGCTTGGGCTCGACGTTGAAAATTCGAGTTCGAGTTCGAGCTCGAGCCTAATTGAGCTCAGTAAAAAACTTTCCAGTTCTCTACTTTTTCACTTTCCTAATCGAGCTTTTTAAGTCGAAATTTGGCAAGCTCAAATTCGGCTCGGCTTGGCTGGCACCCCTAGTTGTGCCAATTCCATTTTTTTTTTTTTTATAATTTTGAATATACATTTTGCCTTTTGACTGTTGTATTGGAGCAAATAAACTGGTATGTAATCCTAAGGAGTTACTTAGACTTTGGTACTATCATAGCCTTCACTTTTTTCAACTGACCTTTTAGTGCCGTACTAGGCGATAGTTTGTGATTTGATCTTTATTTTCTGATTGTATTTATGTTGATTCATTTGCTTTATTGTTGAATTTGGGTTGCTTTTGATGCAGTTATCAGAAAAAATGTTGTCAAATACAAAGGTAGAGAAATACGGTACCTCAATGAACTAGAGTTCATAAATGGTGAAGTTTGGGCAAATGTTTATATGGTATGTCCTTGCCTATGCATTCTTTATTTGCAAGCTCTTTATGATCAGAATTTTCCATCCATTTGGTGAAGGCATTGGCATTAGTCCAAATGAGAGAAGGAAAGGACCAGAGAGTGGAGGGCTTAGATTTTAATTGCTTGTTGGCATGCAGCCCAAAAGAAACCAAAGAAAAACTGGCCATAATTTATGAAGCATAATATCAAATGAGGAATATAATATGGTGGAGTTCTAGATATATAATGGGAGGTTCTTGAATAGTACAATGGTGGGGATAGGCTTGAAATTGTAACCTACCATGTTTAAAACTTATATGATGAGCCCTTTCCAAGTTCTTTATCATCTATTCTATTAAACATAGACTCAAGAAATGTTGAGTATCTTCAGAAATTACAAAATTTACTTTTGAATCGATATATAGGAATTCTGGTTTGCCTTTAGTAAGGAAAACCATGATATGGTTGGATATTTTTATAGAGCATTACACTTTCTTCTCGTTTAGATATGCTATTTGTGGTGTAATTTTAATGAAATTGTCTGATATTTTACTATTTCTTACATTGTAGACTGACTGCATTGCTAGAATCTCACAGAGGATGGTATGGTGCTTGGATGGATTCTGCTTCCCAGTTTAAGGTTTTGTTTTACATTTCCCTTCTCCTTATAATGGATTATCTGTAATATCCTTAATGTAATCATCTGTAAATAAGCTTTTTTTTCTCAAATCATTTTGCTTCAGAGCTTTTAATTTTGCATTTTATTTCATTTTGTCTTGCAGGGAAGGTTTGATAGCGCCGGGTATACTGTAGCATCAAACCAGATAAATATGTTCACTTTTCTTCTTCTGAAAATATGGCTTGTGCTAGAATGTTGGCCATCTGGTTACTTGAAAGAGGAAGGGATTTCTTAAAAAAACTTCTTGAGCATTTTTAAGCTACATCATCCATTCTCTGTCTGATCCCACCTAAATATTTATGCAGAGAATCTCTATGTTCTTTCACTTTCATAATTAATTTGATTTGGAATTGCACTACCTTGTAGGGTATTGATGTTTTGAATGGCATAGCATGGGATCGCAACAAAAGCCGCATATTTGGTAATAGATTTTGTGTCCTTTCTCCAAATTACCATATTATCATATATTTGATGCCTGATTTTTGGTGCATGTTGAACACTGTTGAGTGGAAAAGGAACCTAATAATCCTCATTTAGTTAGATATTTTATTACAGGCATGCTGAAGTGCTGGAATCTATTTAATTTAATGAATATTTGTTCTAACTTTTGGATTTAGCAACACATATTGTTTTATTATCCTGCTTAAGCATATGATTATTACTTCTATGTCTTTTGTAATCCATATTCTGGCATCGATTATTCTCTATCCTAGCCAAAACACATTTTTAGTCTTACAGCTTCTTTTACCACCGTAACTGAACCCTCATTGATGCAGTACCGATCTTATAGTCTTTTGGCCAAATTGTTTGATTTGGTTTTTACCCAACTTGTAGTTGACTGGTGCTCCGGAATGCCCACCATTTTCTACCCCCTTCATGCATCCCATCATCTAATACAAGCTCCTTTCTTTCCACAGATGTATTTATCATAATTAAAATATGATTGATATAATTGCCTCAAAATTTAATTATATTTTGATTGGTATGTCCCTTGGTACTCGGGTGGTACTCAAAAGTGGTCAATCGTCATACTCATATTACTCATAGTCTTACATATTGTTTTTCTACGTATATGTTATCCTTAATGTCTGTTTTAACAAAACATAGTATCTGCCTTTCCAAAATCTGTAGTTTTTATTTGCAATGGTAGCAATGGAGACGGCTTTGGTTATTATAATTTATAGGCAAAAATGTTTCCTACATCAAAGTTTGTCTGATATATTTTTGTAGCTTGAAATATTGGTTTTGGATTGTCCTGTACACCTCCTAACTCTACACTTTGTAGTTACCGGTAAACTGTGGCCGAAGCTTTATGAGATCAAATTGTGTCCGATGAAGAAGCCCAGCAAGACGAGGGTGCCGTATCGTTGCAGCTTTGATGTTGGATGGGCGATTATAGAGATTGCACTGATAAATTCCCCCTACCTGTATTTTCTGCTAATTGCACAGGACATGTAGTTGAGTGGAGAATCTTCCCTATGATTGGACATTTGTAGTTTTTTGTGTACTACTACTTCACTGCCTGTACTGTGCTCCGCAATATACAAACAATACAAATAAGAAAACACAATTAGAAAGTTAATTGAGCTTTAGGAAGTACTGTGAACCTTCAATTTGATATTTGATCTTTCAGTTTAATAGCAACGAATAGAATTCTCTCTCTCTCTCTAATTTCTTTGACGCAATCTGTAACATAAATAAGATCCAAAATACACAGTATGATTTAGGCATATGGGTGGTATTTTTCTCTGTTTTCATCACATTTACTGATACTTTAATTTGACAAATTCTAAGCAAGGCCTAGGATTTGTTTGGTCTGCAATCTATATAAGATTTTAGAAATTAGTATTCAAGTTGAACGTATATAATGCATAATTTAGCATCGAATACTACAATTTATTTGTCAAAATTAGTGAAAACATGTTTGGTAAATGTTAGAGAAATTTTCTAATTTAGAAACTAATAAAATCATGAAGGAATCAAACACCAATTGACCCAAGTAACTGAAAACCAATCCACATCCAGATTTCCCGCTACTCCATACAGTTAGTTTCTTCATCATATCTGAATTCTGAACCATTCCAAGGAGAGTTATAGCTAACCTCAAACTCTTAAAAACCAAATTGAACTCCACTTTTATTCCATGAATAAATCTCACAACCCCTTAACTTAATTCACCTTATTAATGGCATTTAATGCACCATCCCCCGAGAAGAAGCTGCCAAGCATACTCCTTTTTTGGGATTCAAGTATGGATCTTGATAATCACTCTGATTGCATTATTCTTGCTGATCATTCTCACCATTCTTTACCTTTGCATCATCTTTCATCGTCGCAAAAATCCTACAAACCTCGTTTTTTCCTTCCAAGAAATCCCTTTCTGCCAAGACTTATCAAAACCACCATTTCAGCACTTCATCCCTGGATAGTAGCTTTTATCCGCGTCTAACAACATTTCAGAGATTGAGATGAATCTTTCAAAGCCTGAGTTTCAAATGTTTATCTGATCCTTGCTCTATCAAGTCTAGTCTCGTCACTGACCTCGAATCAACTGCCGGCCTCTCGAGAGACAGTACGGTAAGGTGTTCTCTGAAGGAGATTGCATGGTAACATGATTTTTCTGGGAGAACATGATGCAAGCGCGACAATGGGATGGTTTATCGTGCTGTTTTGTTGGATAATAAGCGAGTACAGTGAAGAGGCTATAATGAGTAACAGGTACTGGCCTAAATTTATTCTGTTCATTTTGTTGTTTCCCTGTTAACATAGAGTTTAGATTTTCAAATTTAACAAAATGTATCATAAACACTAACAGTTCCTTATTGATCAGTAATAGCCAACGAGAACTTCATCAAAGAAGTAGAGGCAATTGGCTGTAAACACAAGAATCTGGTGAAGCTGCTTGGTTACTGTGTTGAAGGATATAACGGTATGATATTGTTGAATTTTGAAAATTTTTCGGTCTATATTTTACAAAATTGATGTCTTCAAACCTTTAACTTGAATTCACTTTTGATTGATACTTGTGTATGAGTACATAGATAATGGCAATCTGTATCAGTGGTTCATGGAAGTCTAGGACAACTGAGGCCTCTAACGTGGGGAATGCGGATGAATATTATTCAAGGAGTTGCAAAAGCGTGAGCCATATAATAATCTTTAACACTGATCAGTTTGTTCTGTTCTCTTATATAATTATGTGCTCAGTTACTTAAAATAATATATATGTTTTTTGCTCTCGGTTGGCCTACCTTCATGAAGACATTGAACCAAAGATAATTCATCAAAATCTAAAGTCTAGTAACAACTGATTGATCACCAATGGAATCCTAAGATCTCTGATGTTGGAATTGCTAATCTTCATGGTCCTGAGTGGAGTTCTTTACATTGTGCAATGGGAAAGTCGGGGTCAGTTATTTTTGCTTGAATTAATCTTTAATGTAGTTTTGTTATATGTATTTTCATGGAAATTATTGGATATACGAAAATTCTCTAGTGTAGACATTGACACTCATCAATCATAAGACTTCATTTAACGAGGTCCCCATTTTTTATTTAAAATACATACGATTAACTTATGTTTAAAGTTCCATGGTTTTATAGTTATGAATCTCGAGATCTACCGGCAGTATTTGGATGAGAAGAATGATGTTTATTGCTTTGGAATACTTATCATGGAGATTGTATCCGAGATATCGGTAGATCACACTCAACCCGAGGTACAGATTCCTAATTTTAGAACATTTCTTGCATGATTTTAAGCCTTCTTGCATAGCTGGTTCTTGCTAATCAATCTACTTGAATTGAGCTGTAATTGCAGGGTCATTTGGTTGACTGGTTAAGTCCATGGTTGCAAAGCAGAAAATTTCATTTGTTGTGGATCCTAAATTGCCAGAAATGCCTTCTACAAAGAAACTAAAACGGGTTATTTTAATTGCCCTGCGAGGCGTTGATCCTGAAGTAAAACATAGCCGAAGATGGGAGATGTAGTTCACATGCTTGAGCCACGCGACTTGCTCCTTAATGTTGTAGAAAACAATTTTTTTTTTTTTTTCCCGAGAGCTGCCGCATACTTACAGCAAATTCTAACTATTCAAACTCTTGTTGTTTCACATTGCGGGGCCACAGATTAAGAAAGCGGCTTCTTATCATAAGTACCCACAAGAGAGTCAGCCTGTTATCAAGTTGGTCATGAAGATTCTAACACCACATGAAAGTGAAAGCACAGTAATCGGTATCAAATGAAAATTTGAGCTCATGAGGAAAACACTTAATTTATGGACTACTTTCAACACCAATGTATAAATACTACTTATTCCGAAAACAAGCATTAAAAGAACAGCAAAGTTGCAAATCCTTATTGTTTTTTCAAGTCTGTATCATCTAGGAAGCATGGTCGATACGAAGTTGAAAAAATTAGTCTCAAACTAAAGTTCAAATGAACATTAGCGATGGGCAGTTTTCATCAGGGAAAAAGCAATTGGTATGTTCTTTTTTCTCAGGCAATAGATCGCTATGCCGATGGGTCACACTGCTCCTCACCCTTCAACATTAGTCAACTATTTGTAATTCCTTTGGTTTATTTGTCAATCCAATACTTACATTTCATTGGAATCCCCTCAAGCCTCGTTGAGTAGGTGAAGTTATCACCACCATGTCTCTATAATTTATTCCTGAAATTCTGTGCAAGTGCTTTTGGATCAAAACAAGGGTCAGGTGTGACCCATAAGAACCTGTCATCCAGAAAACAAACTTCTAATTTTCATAGTCATTCTTCTTATGTAATATATTTTACGTAACCTCTACTAATTACCGCGTTTTAATCCTTACACCAGATGAGTGTCAATGGCTATATGTCTTCATTTTTTACGTCTTTAACTCCACCCACATCTCACTACCAAGAGCAATGGTGGCGCCGTCCGGTGAAATGCAAGTTAGCCTTCTTGTGATGAGGTGTTGCGTTGACATTCCTAACTTTAATTCATATTGATTCCCACCACTTTAGCTGCAATGCATTACGGAAAAGAAAAGGTTATATATTAAAAGAAACAAACGTGGGTTTATTCCATCTGTGTTAGGAGAATCTACTGGTGTGAGAATTGTAGACCTTGAACCAACATTACGGAAAAGAAAGGTTAGATCATGTAGTTAACCCAATGTATTGATAGTAATTGAGATCATATGCTTATAATAAAATACTAATTGTAAAAATTTGTAAATATGGATCAATTTGTTGGATTAGACCTTCAATATATAGGGTGGACATTTCATAATGGAGAATTGATTAAGGTTATGTTGGATATTTGCTGTGATTTTCAAAATTTATGATTTTGTGTTTGATAAAATAGATTTTGAAAATCTATGATTGTGTGTTTGGTAAATTACATTTTGGCAAATTAGTTTTGCGTTAAGGTTTACTTTTAGGACTGGTTATGCCACCGTCGATCCCACAAGAGCCAACACATACCAATCTATTGGAATTCGGTTAAATCATCGGATTCCGACCTATATATTGGCTACAAAAGGCGAAGAAAGATTTGGTTGCCTTCTAATTTGTCATTTTATAAAATAAAATCAGCTTTAAAAATAATTTAATTTTTAAAAGCTACTCCTACTAGCTTTTAGAATCCTTCTACAAATCTAATTATTTTACAACTAGCTTCAAACTTAATCAGTTTTAAAAGCTGTTTACCAAACACTTTTATTGTTATAGATTAAAACTTAATTGATTATTTCTTAAGTTACAACAATCACAAACACACATATTTATATCTTTTTAAATAAGATTCAAAAGCTAACAGTTTTAATACAAAATAGTATAAGTATAGAAAAGGTATATAAGATAATAATTGGTCTTGAAAAATCATCCAAATATGGGAGCTAGCGTTGAAAAAAACCATTACTTATAAGAGTTTTTGGGTTGTGGTGGGAGAATTCAAAATTTGGGGGTGTGAGTTTAGAAAAAATATATTATGACATTTTTATGAACATAAAACAATATATGGAAGCCATTTCCAGGCATGGATGCTTTATTGACCTCACTGTTATGTTAAAATTGCAAATAAGCTAGATCGTTGGTATAAACATGTATTTAATGTGGTGGAACCTAAATTGCTTGAGAAATGCCTTCTACGAAGTATTTCTAACAATTTGTTTCAATAGGATTTTTATCATAACTGTTCAAGAGAGAGTTAGATATAGTAAAACCGATCGCAGATCATTTTGTCATATAACCAAGTTGTATAAGAATTTTTTTTAGAGACTATTTTCTACATCAATATATATATAATAAATTCTATTTTTTTTTCTATATTAAACAAACATGCAATAATTAAACAGCAAACTCGTATTCTTATTTCAATTTTTTTCTATAACAATATAAGATTATGATATAGTTTACAAATCAATAATAATTGTGTTGATGCGTGATTTTTATACCAACGAAACGCATGTGTGAA